GGTGGGGGGTTGGGGGGGAGAAGCAGCCAGAGTCCCTGACTCCAGAAAAGCTCTGAGGTCTCCATAAAGCAAATGACTGCCCGGTGCAGCCTCCAGCTGGGTCGTTTGGACCCCTGGGTTCCTATCCCAGCTCTGCCACTCTCAGGGTACCCTGGGCACTTGGCTTTCCCTCATTGGGCCCTGATTTCGCGCCCCCCTCCCCCCTTGTTGGATCTCTCAAGTTGCTTCCGCCTGGGACTCAGCCTGGTCTCAACCCCATGGCTCCAACCAGGCCTTTCCTCCAACTCCAGAAGCAAGAATAGCCGAGAAGGCCTGTTCCCTCTTCCTTCTCTCCCACCCACCCAGGTGGTGCGCTGGAGCTGGGGCGACGGCGGCCGTGGTTTCCCAAGTGGTCGCTTTTTTAGGGGGTCTATGAAATTCCAGTCCTGGCCCATCGGGGTGCAGCCGACTGGGAGGTGACAGTGGGAAGCTCTGAAGATGGGCACTGAGGCTGGGTGTGAACGCTGGGCCTCCGTCCTCTCTCAGGACCTCCTCTTAATTCTGCGTGAACCCAGACACCAGATTCCCAGGTTGGGGGTGCCTGTGAGAGGAAAGCTCAGGCTGGGCAGAGGGGGGCAGGGGTGCGGTGCGGTGCGAGGTGGGAGCTGAGGGGGGTGTGAGGGGAGGGGCAGCTGCACTTCTGAGAAACAGCTCGGCATCTCAGCAGCCCGCAGCCTAACCCCCCTGCCTGCGGCTTCACAGCTCCCTCCTTCTGCCGCCCACGCCGCTCGGGGCCTCTCCGGGGGTCGGCAGCCCCCGCGGAGGCGGTGGCAGCTGGGGAGGAGCGACAGCTCGGGGGACAGCGGAGTGGAACCCATCGGGCGATGGAAAATGGACGGGGCGGGGGCGTGGGGTGCAGGACACCCCGGAGTAAAAACCACCCCCCACTCGGGGTCCCGAGCACTGGACCTCGGCCCGCCCGCGTATCCCCCCTCCACCCCCACCCAGGTACTCTCCCATCACACCCGGCAGGATCCAGAAGTGAAACCGCTCGAGGTCACAGCCCAGCGCCGGCGCTGCGCCCCGCCCCGCCCTTCCGGACACTGCAGCCCTGCAGGATCTCCCAGCGCTCGGCGACTGCAAGGAGGAAGCGGGGGGAGGGGAGGAGTGGGGCCCCGCGGGAGTCTGCAGAGCGGGGCCTTCGCTCCCCGGGGTGCCCGCTGGTAACCACGAGTGGAAACCTCGATGGGCACCGACCTGACACCGGGAGAGGCGCGAACAGCGCTTGCACTTCCCACCGCGGCCGCTGGGTGTCACTGCAGCCGCGCGGCTGAGCCGGCCCGGGCGCGGGTCCCTGGGAGTGTGAGGACCCGAGCCCCCGCGCCGGGCGTTCGCCCCACCGACGCCGCACCACGAAGCGAGGATGCGGCGCTCAGCCCTCCATCCACCCTCCTGGTCTCTGGAGGCTGCCGCTCAGCCCACAGACTCGCAATGAACAAACGAACCCCCAGCTCCGCGGCGCATGGACTCATGGCCGGGGCGCTACGGGGACCGACGGCGCTGAGCGCCAGACACCGCCCCCCCCCCCCCAAGCGCGCCCCCTGGCGAAGCGGCCGGGCCTTCCAGTCGCAGAGACGGGGGTGCCTCTGCTGAGAAGGTGCCTGCATTCCACCCCCCGGATCCTGCCCGGCGGCCCAGTGCCCCCAGAGTGGCAGCAACCGCGTGCAGACAGCTGGTTCCAGAGGGAGAGGGGGCCGGAAGGGCGAGCTGCGGGTGCGGATCACACTCCGCACGGGCTTTGGTGCCAGAGCGACTACGGGATGGTCCCGCGGTGCATCCAGGCTCACCTGACTCAGGCCATGCCCTCCCACTCTCCAGCTCACCCCTCAGATGTGTAGGACGGGGTGGCTCCGTTCGGGAGAAGGTAACCGAAAGGGGACTGATGGGTGTAGGTGAGCCAAGGCTGGGGGGAAGGAGATAGGTGGAATGCTTTGGAAAACTAGAGTAGTCTGGTAGGAATGCCCACTTCTGCCATCCCAAATGTCGCTCAGGGCGCAGGTTGGGCAGGTGGATGCAGAGGAACATGCCCGGTTGGCTGTGGCTCCGTGGGGGTGGGGGTGGCCCATCCCATCCCTGCATGCAGATTCCCCTCCAACTCCAAGGTCATAGGGCCCAGCTCCATTACGGAGACGCTAGCAGGATCCACGTGGTGGCCCTAAAAGAGTGACACTGGCCTCCCCATCTCCCCCAGTCTCCTGAAAACCACCCCAACATAAACCCATACCATGGAAACGCAGCTACAGCTCAACAGCCCAGGTGCCCAGCAAAGAAAAACCTGCCCCGCCCTAACCGGTTTGGCTCAGTGGATAAAGCGACGGCCTGCGGACTGAAGGGTCCCAGGTTCCATTCCGGTCAAGGGCACAGGCCGGGGTTTGGGCTCAATCCCCAGTAGGGGGCGTGCAGGAGGCAGCTGATCAATGATTCTCTTCATTGATGTTTCTAACTCTCCCTCTCCCTTCCTCTCTTCCTTATAAAATTAAAAAATATATAAAAAATAAAATCTGGCCCTAACCGGATAGAGCAGCGGTCTGCAGACTGAAGGGTCCCGGGTTCGATTCCGGTCAAAGGCATGTACCTTGGTTGCGAGCACATCCCCAGTAGGGGGTGTGCAAGAGGCAGCTGATGGATGTTTCTATCTCATTGATGTTTCTAACTCTCTATCCCTCTCCCTTCCTCTCTGTAAGAAATCAATAAAATATATTTTAAAAATAAATAAATAAAATCTGTCCCTTCCTTGGGGGCGCCACAATCCATCGTTCAAAGCCCATGGATTGACTGGCGGCCTCATTAGGGCAGGTAGTGGACAACCCTTCTCAGCCCAGACACTCCTTCCTGTACGGAGATTCTCCATTAAACATGTATATAATAATCAAATTTTCAAGCTTAGAGAAGAATTTAATGACTCCCTGTGTACCCTTTAAGCAGCTTTAATCCAACATCAATTCATAACCAACCAATGACTATACCCACACCCTCTCCCCTAACCTCTGGGTTATTTTTAAAACAAAGCTGAGCCCAGCCAGTGTGGCTCAGTGGTTGAACATTAACCCTTGAACCTGGAGGTCACGGGTTTTTTGTATGTTTTTTATTAGGAGGCCACGTTTTGATTCCGATCAGGGCACATGCCAGGGTTGCAGGCTCGATCCCCAGCAGAGGGCGTGCAGGAGGCAGCCGATCAATGATTATCTCATCATTGATGTTTCTATCTCTCCCTTCCTCCGAAATCAATTAAAAATATATACATACATATTTTTTAGAGCTGAGATATCATTTCACCAATAAATACTCCAGAATGCATTTCTTAAAGACTTTTTAAAAAGCATAACCACAATACTATTATCACACTTTCAAAAATTAACTAATTCCTTAATATCACCAAATATCTCAGAGTTCAAATTTCCCCTAATTGCTCATAAATGGGTTTTTTTTTTTTGGTTGGGTTTTTCTTCTTCTTCTTCTTTTTTTTTTTTTTTTTTTTTTTTTTTTGCAGTTAACTAGTTTGGATTTGAATCAAATAAGGTCAATGCATTATATTTGGTTGATGTATGTCTAAATTTCTTGAAAACTAGATTCCCCATCTTTTCTTGAAATATGTTTTGTTGTTGAAGAAACTGGGCTGTGTGTTCTGATGTTTCCCAGTCTGGATTTTGATCATCGCGTCTCCATGTGTCATCTCGAATGTTCCTGTTCCCTGAATTTCCGATAAACCAGTCCAGTGATTTTCAACCTATTTCACCACTTGGCTCATATAAACTAATGACTAAAATTCTGCGGCACACCAACAAATATATGTTTTGCTGACCTGACAAAAAAATAGGTATAATTTTGATTCATTCACACAGGACGGTTATTGTTGTGTTGGCTGTTGTTTTTTTTTTTTTTTTTACAATCTAAGGGAAAAGAGGTCAGTGCCTGCTTTAGAAATTCTTGCAGCACACCGGCTGAAAACTGCCAAACTAATTGTTGGATCCAGATTTAGATTTGATTCCTTGGCAAAAATAACACCTAGTTGGCCCTAGCTGGTTTGGCTCAGTGGATCGAGTGTTGGCCTGTGGACTCAAGAGTTACGGGTTCAGTTCCAGCCAAGGGTACATGCCTGGGTTAGGGGCTCAATCCCCAGTGCGGGGCGTGCAGGAGGCAGCCGGTCAATGATTCTCTCTCATCATTGATGTTTCTATCTCTGTCTCCCTTTCCCTTCCTCTCTGAAATCAATAAAACTATATATATTTTAAAAAGAGCCAAAATTATTAAAATTCTTAAACAAAAGTCTTCAGACAAAATAAATAAATAAATAAAGGCCGGCATGGGCAGTGAGCGGAGACCTGGCCCTGCAGGGTCTGTCTGGGTGTCGGGGCAGGCGCAGGGGAGTGAGCAGATTTCTAGGTTGAAAAGATCACTCTGGCTGTTGAAACTAGGTTGGAGAGGGAAGCGAGACTCAGAGGGCTGAGTGCTGGAGGATTCCATAAAGGCTTTCTGAAAGGGGCAGGACTATTAGGATGGTAAACAGATCTAGGGTTGGAGAGGAGAGAGGGGGGTTGACAGTGGGGGTAGGTACTGGAGCCGTTCTGTGACTTGGTGGTGGACATACACCTGGGTGTGGATCAGGACCAGTCAGCGCAGGACTTGTAGAGGATGGGGATGCTGACTCATCTCCACAGCCCAGGCCCATTGGAGTTACCTCCATAGATGTAGGCCCTATTGGGAAATCTTATCTGGATGACAGTCCCTTGTCCACTCATTCATTCAACAAGCAATTATTGGGCACCCTCTATGGGTCAGGCTCCATGCTGGGCACTGGGGCTCTCAGATGACCAAGACCACGGCCCTGCCCTCAGAAACATCCCGGCTGGCCAGTAAGTGGCATCTATCCATCTGACACATTCACCAAGGCCTGGTGCACACCTCTCCTGCCCCCCTTCTCAACCCCAGCGAGCCAGGTCTTGCCAGACTGAACTCACAGGTGTATCCAAAAATAACCTTTATTGTAAGGAGTATAAAACAGATCAACTGGCCTCAGTCTGTACAACGTGTGGGGCATCAGACCACCTGGGCTACCCCCATTTCTCCCATAATGCCTTGCCCCAGAGTAGTGCCCAGAAAGGAGCTCCCTGAAGGGGAGAGGGCCACCCCAAGTGCCTTCCCTTGAGATGAGGGATTAAGGGTGAACTGGGGGGATGGGTAGGGGGACCACTTTCTGCCTCAGTGAAGCAAAGGAGCAGAGGAGAAAACTGGATTGGGGGGGGCCTTCCAATCGTTCTCGATCCTGTCCCTGCCCTCTGACCCTCTGAGTTCACCCTAGGAGCCCGGGGCTGAAACACGGGCCTGCCGCCGCCCGGTCAGAGGGCCACGCGGGTGCAGCAGTGGCGCAGCAGGCAGGGCAGGATGCCGCGGTTCAGCTGGTGGAACTCCACGAGCTGCAGCAGGTCGGTGAAGCGCGTCTGGCCCTCGTCCATGCTGAAGTAGAGGCGGCCCTCCTCCTCGCTCTGGGGCAGAGCCAGGGGGTGGGCGGTCAGGGGGGAGCATGAGCCTGAGGGGCTCCCTCCTGGGCCAGGCCCGAGGTCCCCACTGCTTGTGCAGGGAGAAAGGAGAGAGCAGGAGACCCCAGACACGCTGGGGACCAGGAGGGGAGGGTGGAGGCGACAGGCTGCCGGGAGCCCCATGTCTCCACTACAGGCATCGAGGGCAGCGGTCGCCAACCTTTCGGACCTCACGGACCACCAGCTGGCGACCGATGATCTAGGGAAGTGGTTCTCAACCTTCCTAATGTCTCGACCCTTTAATACAGTTCCTCATGTTGTGGTGACCCCCAACCATAAAATTATTTTCGTTGCTACTTCATAACTGTAACTTTGCTACTGTTATGAATCGTCATGTAAATATCTGATATGCAGGATGTATTTTCATTGTTACAAATTAAACATAATTAAAGCATAGTGATTCATCACAAAAACAGTATGTAATTATATATGTGTTTTCCGATGGTCTTAGGCGACCCCTGTGAAAGGGTCGTTCAACTGCTAAAGGGGTCGAGACCCACAGGTTGAGAACCGCTGAGCTAGGGGCTGACTCACCGGCAGGATAAGATAATGCTTGACTTTCTGCAGATGGCACAGAGACAGGACAAAGCCCTGCGGGTTCCGCTGGCTGTCCCGCACCAGGAACAGTCTGCCAGGAGACAGGGCCACGTCAGCCGAGGACACCGGGCTGCTGCCTTCACTCGGGGTCTCCCTTACCCCTGGGCCTGCTGCCCTGCCCAGCCCTGCCCCTTACCCGTCTACCAGGCCTTGCTGGGAGATGAGCCGCTGGCTGTCCTCGCGGGAAATCCGTCCATGGAACCAGGGTTGGGTTCGGTGGATGGCTGGGGTGAGAGGCAGACAGGTGGGCAGTCACTCTGAGGGGATCCTCCTACTAACCACCGCCCCCGCCATGAGTGCGCAGAGACGCCCCCAGCCCCAGGGAGGCTGCGCCCTCACCCACCTGCACTGAGGCTGGTGCTGGAGCACGGGGTGGGCAGGCTGAAACGGTGGTTCGTCTTCTTCTGCAGAACAGAGGGGACACAAGGGTCGGGGGTGGCAGGGCCTGGCTGGGGTATCGCCCACCCTGAAGAATGTAGAGCCCCTTTCTGCACCTGGGGGCCTCCCCTCACCCCTCCCCCTCCCCCTCCCCCTCCATGGAAACCCATATGAAGAGACGTTCCCCAGGACAAACATGCAGGTGAGTGCAGGCGCCTCACCCGCCAGGCGTGGGCCTCCTCCAGGGCGACACTCAGAGCCTCCTGGGGGTTCTCGATGATGCGCCCCGTGTGGCCAGAGAAGTCCATCGCCACCAGGGTGTTGTCCGAGACACTCCTCTGCGCGTGGGACAGAACGGGAGGGGAGCGGTCAGAACAGGACCCCAGAGTCCCCGGAACAGGGTCTGGGTACCCACCCCAACTCACGCCCCTGTGTACACTCACCAAGGGTGGGAACCCCACACAGGACGGGCGCAGGTGGCGAGACTGTGCCTGCTGATAATTCTTATACAGCTGCACCCCATACTGGGGTGTGGAGAGAGAAAGAGGGCCCGAGGTCAAGCAGGTGCCGGGGTGCGGGCCGTGACACCCCCCAGACAGGCCCCCCCAGGAGCAGGGCTGTGTCTGCCCCGGGACCAGGGGTGCGGGCCGTGACACCCCCCAGACAGGCCCCCCCAGGAGCAGGGCTGTGTCTGCCCCGGGACCAGGGGTGCGGGCCGTGACACCCCCCAGACAGGCCCCCCCAGGAGCAGGGCTGTGTCTGCCCCGGGACCAGGGGTGAGGGCCGTGACACCCCCCAGACAGGCCCCCCCAGGAGCAGTGCTGTGTCTGCCCCGGGACCAGGAGTGTGCTGAAGCCAGAGCGGGGACTCCAGCCTTGGACCTGGGATCCGAGAGCAGAATGACGCCCCTCTTTCTGGAGACCTCCTGCGGGCAGAGCTATCCCTCCTCCCTTGTGCTGAGGGTCCCGAGGGCGGGGCCAGCCCCCATGCTGCTCCCGGGGCCTCACCTTGAAGAGGCGGAAGGCGGATAACCAGCAGGTGCGGCTCTGCGCGTCCTCACTGCAGAAGATGCACAGCCCCTTGTGGCCATTGCGAAGCTTGTTGGGCTGCGGGGAAGGAAGCTGGCTGATTCACTATCTGCCTTTAGGTCCTGACCTCCGATTCCTGTCTGTCTCCTGCCTCCTGTCTCCGTGGGGCAGGGGCAGGGGCAGGCGCAGGGAGAGGAGCCTGGGTGTCCCAGACAGAACTCAGAAGCCCCAGGTAGGATCCCGGGGAGCTGAGCAGTTCCCACTCTCCCCCAGGCCAGGCCCGGGCCCTCACCTTGATACAGAAGCCGAAGTCGGTGGGCATCCCGTACAGCTTGCGGCCCTGAGTCACCACATACGCATTGGACTCGTTTACATCTGCCAAGTACTGCAGGTGCCTTGGATCCTGCTCAGCACAGGTGAGAAGAGCTTGGTACAGGCAGGCTCTATCCCCCAGTTACTGCCCAACCAAGCCAGCTGAGGAGATATCAGGACGGATACCGGGGAGGGGGGGCAGAGAAGTGCCCCAGCTCACACAGCAAATCGAAATAGAGGCAGGACTCGAACTCAGTCCCCCTGCCTTCCCCACTGCTACCTCCTGGGGCAGGTAAGCTGGGCAGGAGGGAGGAGCAGCCGAGGGTCTCAGGGCCCAAGGGGAGAAAAGGTCCAGGAGTTCCAACGGGGAAGAGGCGACACCTAGCAGGGCCCGGATGGGGTTTCAGAGGGGCTGGACTGTCACCTTGGAGGTGCCCTTGGTGGAGTAATAGAGGCCAGACCGGCGCAGGAAGCAGAAGAAGCGCTTCCAAAGCTTCCGTCCTGAGCCCCGCAGCTGCAGGAAGCCCTGGATCTCTGGGAAGCTGCCCGCATTCAGGAAGTTCTGCGGCCAGAGGAGAGCAAGAGGGTGAGAGGCCGCCCCAGCCGTGTGGCTCAGTGGATAGAGCGCCGGCCTGCGGGCTGAAGGATCCCGGGTTCGATTCCAGTCAAGGGCACAAGCCCGGGTTGCTGGATCCCCAGTAGGGGGCGTGCAGGAGGCAGCGATCAATGATTCTCGTCATTGATGTTTCTATCTCTCTCTCCCTCTCCCTTCTCTGAAATCAATACAAATAAATCAAATAAAAATATATTAAAAGAAAAAAGGGGGTGAGAGGCCTAGAGGGGGCCACACACTCACACAGAAAACACGCAGCACGCAGGCACTGCCCCTTCCCAGGACCTGCCCTTATGAAAGGAGCTGCCCCACATGCATTTATTGTCCCCGTTTAACAGATGAAGAAACGAATGCTCTCGCAGGGAAAAGACACGTCCCCTCGGTTCTCTCCACCCCACGGAGGGAGGCACAAGGCTTCAGGGCCGAGAAGCAGCGGGGGGGGCCGGGGGAGCCGGGGGAGCCGTGACGATGTGAGTTCCCTCACCTGGATGAGGTCTTCATGCGATAAGCCCGTCGGTGCATCCAGACAGCTGGAGACCATCTTCTCTGGGAACAGGGAGTGCTGGGCAGATGGGAGTCCAGAGTCAACGACTGAGGGCCCAGGTCAGGGATCAGGGTGTCCCATTGCCCGGAATCCCCCCCCACCCCCGCACCCCCCCCCCCCACACACACACACACTCACTGGGGAGCTCTTGAACAGTTCGTACTTGGCGAAGTTCTTCCGGAAGACAAAGCGGCTGTCTGCGCCGATTGGCCATGCAGCTTGTACTTCCACTACTGACTCATGGTCCTCCAAGACCCGCTCTGGGTCAAGGGCAAAAAGCAGGGGTCAGTGGAGATCAGCCCAGACCTCAGGGATGAGCCGTCTGCTTAGCCCAAGGTGTGAAGCATTGCCTCCGGGCCCAGGCAGCCCCTTGCACCCCAACTCACCCAGTGCTAGATGGGGGTGGCACTCCACCAGCCCCCAGTTCTCATCACTGAGGGCGTGAGCTCGCTGCACCAGCATTTCACACACGTAGCGTGCGGTGGCGCCCGCCGCCACCTCCACGGACCGGCAGGCCCCGTCTTCGCTATACACTTTTACTACCTGCACCCCAGGAATTGCAGATGACTTGAGGAAAAGCAAAGGGTGGTTCTTCCCCGCCCCCCCACCTGCTATACCCTCAGGGACCCCTGAGCAAATGCCCCCGCCTCCAAGTGGTGCTGTCCCCCTCCCAGTCCCAGAGCCCTCCCAGGGCCCTGCCTTCTCTTTCCCAGGACAACTCACATGGGGGCAGCTGGTGTCTCGAGGGAGCAGCCCCCTTGCACTGGAGAGTCCCCCAGTAATGGGCGTTTGTGAAGGAGGACTACACAGCTCAGGGAAAGGGTTGGGGATGGAGGGCAGAGAGGTTGTCCGCAGCTCCTCCTCTCGAAGTTTCCTGTGTGGGTTGGGGAAGCGTTGACTTCAAGCTTCTGTTGTCTTTCCCAGTGCTGACCGCGCCCCTCCCCCAGCCCTCGTCAGCCCCATCACCCCGTTGCACCTGCTGGTCGGGATGGACAAAGGCTGGGACCTCTTCACCTCCCCAGCAAGGGGGGCATCGGGCGGCGGGGGAGTCCCCGGCGGGGTCCCCGGGGCTGGGTACAGGTCTTCTGGGGAGCTGCTGTGATGCGGTGGAGACAGGCCCAGCTCCATGGCATCTGAGGGAGAAGAGGGGTCCGAATGCAGCCTCCCTTGTGCCTGGTCCTGGGGAGAGGGGCCAAGGGGACCCGACCTCCTGACTTCCCACAGCGGTCAGGTGCCCTCGGCATTTACCCAGCACCTCACTGCTCCCCCTCTACCTGGAGTTTTCCTGGAGCCTTTGGGGAAAGAGTGAGCCCGTTTTGCAAAAGGGGACACTAAGTCCTGAGAAGCAAACATGTTGTTGTTGTTAATCCTCACCCAAGGATATATGTTTTGTAAATGTTTTTCAAAATATATATTTTTTTATTGATTTTATAGAAGAAGGGAGAGGGACAGAGAGACAGGAGCATCGATGATGAGAAAGCTAGAGCTTGCAACCCAGCATGTGCCCAGACTGGGAAGCGAACCATGACCTTCTGGTTCATAGGTCAACACTCAGCCACTGAGCCACGCCAGCAGGGCTAAAATATGTGTTGTTTTTATTTGTTTTTAGAGAGAGAGGAAGGGAGAAACATTGATGAGAGAGAAACATCCATCAGCTGCCTCCTGCAAGCCCCCTACTGGGGATCAGGCCTGCAATCCCGGCTTGTGCCCCCAATGGGAATTAAAAGGTCAACCTCTTGGTGCCTGGGTTTAGGCTCCACCACTGAGCCACACTGGCTGGCCCGAGGATATTTTTTCCATTAATTTTTAGAGAGAGTGGAAGGAAGGAAGGGAGGGAGGAGGGGGGAGAGAGAGAGAGAGAGAAAAACATCGATGAGAGAAAGACACATAGATTGGTTGCTCCCGAACACACCCAACTGGAGTTGGGATCAAACCAGCAACCCAGGTGCCCTTGACCTGGAATCCTTGGCCCTTTGGTGCCCGGGCTGACACTCTAACCACTGAGCACACCAGCCAGGGCGAGAAGGGGGCATTCTTGCTCCCACCACAGGTGAGCCAGGGAATAGAAGCCAGTGTTGGGACTGCTAGTCCAGTGTCCTTCCTTTCACCCCAAGTTGCCCAGGGGAAGAGCTAAGAGGGTCACCCCAACACAGCCAAGGCGCAGCAATAGACGCCACGACCCACAGACTATCTTGGGCTCCAGCTCTCAGCGTCAGGCCAAAGGGTCACCTCTCGGTCTCCGGAGTGTGGGGCACTCACTCCTCTGGGCTCTGCGCTGGGTTTTTGTTCAGCTGCCAGACCTGGCTGCCAGAGCCTGTTGTGGCAACGCATGCCCAAGTGCTGAGTGATGCACAGAGGGGAGAAGGAGGTGGGGAAGGACAGGAACCAGGAAGGCAGGAGGCAGGCTCAGTTGTGGTGGGAAAAGGAGACCTTCGCCCCAGTAGCTCCCAAACCTGTGTGCCCTCCCCAGGCCCTTCCTCCTGCCCAATTTTCTTGAAGTTCTGATGCTAGAGCTACTGCCTCTGAGAAGCCTTCCTGAAATTTCCACATCAAATCCAAAGGGCTCCCAGGGCACTGTGCTGGCCTCCGTGACAATTACTGTGCTCCTGTCTTATCCACCCCGCGGTCTCCTCGGCAGGCCAGGGTTTTCCCCACATCTTAGCACCCACAGGTGCATGGGAACCCAGGACAGGTAAGAGTAGGAGAAATGGGGCAAAGATGCCCACTGTGGGGTAGAGGTAGTGCAGGCCCCTCCTCCACAGGAACCAAGACCCCCTTGGCTGGTTGAGACCTGGGAGGACCTGGAAGACCTCACTAATTCCAGCCCCCTGCCCACTCTCTGGATCTCAGACCAGGGTTGTTAGGCTGCCTTGGGCACCTGGGATTGACCCCCATCCCCGTCCCCCAAGGATGTGGCAGGCCCCTGGCCCTTAAGTGAGAGAATGAGGGGACTTGGGGGACAGGTGAGTCAAGGTGGGGCGGAGCAGCACTGCCTGGGGCTCTCCATTCAACCTTGACTCATCTGTACAACTTCCTGGCTTAGGAGAAACACAAACAACCCTGCCTCTACCCACCACCCACCCTCTACTCCCGCCCCCAACCTACCAGCTTGGGAGGAATGGGAGGCTCAGGATAGGGAACAAGATGGGGGAGGAAGAGGATGCAGGGCCTGAGGCTCCTTTGACATCATCTCCTCCTTCCCTACCCTTGGCCTGCCTCCACTTCCCCAGTCCAGGTGGGACCTGTAATCCCTAGGTAAGCAGTCCAGTACCTATCACCCAGCCCAGGAGCCCCCTCACCCAGGAAAGAGAGAAGAAAAGCCTGGCCTGGATTCAGGGGCCCATCTGGAGTGGAGCCAACCTCCCAGTGGTGCACCTCCCTCGCCCAAAGAAACCTCAAAATGCTCCCTCCCTTGTCTGGGACCTCCCAGGCCTTCATTCTGCTGCTGCAGCCCACCTCTAGCACCCAGGACTCAGCAGGTCCAGGAGACTCATCCCCATCTCCCTTGCGGGATGAAGGTCCTCCAAACACATTGTCCTAGTGTCCTGGCCAGAGGTGTACCCCAGGACCAGGAGTGAAAAGTCAAGACACCCCAGAGGACAGACAGGCAGGTTAGGAAAGGCCCAGGGGAGAGACAGGGAGGGGCTTAGGGTCTTGCTGGAAGGGGAAGACACACCCACCATCACCATCAACAAACACCAGTATTTCAACACCAAAACACAATTTCACCACCGCCACCACCACCCCTAGCTAACATCTGTCAAACAGCCCTGGTAGCTTCATTCCAGGGAGGACTAGGGAGAGGGGCTGAGAGGGGCTGACCCTCTTAGCTCTTCCCCTGGGCAACTTGGAGCTGTTCCCAGGAAGGCAGAGACCAAAAGTGGGGTGGTCTGGGTCCTCCCCCAAAACAGATTCCGGTCAAGGGCACATGCCCGGGTTGTGGGCTCGATCCCGAGTAGGGCGCGTGCAGGAGGCAGCCAATCAATGATTCTCATCACTGATGTTTCTATCTCCCTCTCCCTTCCTCTCTGAAATCAATAAAAGTATATTAAAAATAAATAAAGTTTTCAAACTGGGGCCCTCGGAAATTCGCGTGTTTAAGAAACCCAACTCCCAAATCAATTTGACCCCTCAAGGCTGCACGTCCCAGCGGCGGCTCCCCCAGCGCCTCCCGCCCGGTGGCTCCGGCCCCACCCTCCTCCCCGCCCTCCGTGCCTCCTTGTTTACTTCCTGAATCTTGCCCCACCTGGCAGGCCCCAAGGTGCGGAGGGTGGCAGGGCCCTTTGTTTGGGGCCGATAAACAACAGGCCATCGTCCGGCTTCCCAGGTGGGGGCGGGGCTCACAGGGCAGAGGCCTGGGCTGCGGGTCTGGGCGCGGCGGGAAGGCCCAGGTGTTGTCCGGTACCCCACGCCCCGCCCCCGTCGGGATGGATTGTAGGGGGCAAGGCTTAACTTTTGGGGGTCTCTTGGGGTGCAGGGCCCAGGTGAGGAGGCGGTAAACCCCTTTGTGACCCGGAGTTGGGGGGAGGGACCAGGACCTGAGGCCCCGCCCACTCCCTCGCTTAGAGAGAGAAAAAGCACCCAATGGGAAGGGGGCAGCCCTTTTAAAGTTTAATTCGGGAAGAATGCTACAGGGTCCGGGGAGTTAATCATTACAGGCCGCTTGCCTTCCAGAAGGGCCCCCAGCAGGGACCAGCGGGGAGAGCAGGGGCCAGGGAGGGCACACCAAGAAGGGGCCTCTGGAGAGGCGGTAGGGTTGGGACGCCTGCCAGCGGCGGACAGGTGCATTCTCCATCCCCGCAGTGCCAGGGCCACCCGGACCCGGACCCAGACCCGGACCCGGCTCTTTCTCCAGCAGCTCAGTCATCCCAGACCATCTCCCCCTTCCGCCCCTCACCCTCCGCGCAGGACACACTGTCCGCAGGCCGCGTGCGCTGCAGACCACCCACTGCGAAGCCCCCTGCGTCCTGAGCCAGGAGCCCCCCCGCCCCTGCCTGCCCCGTCCCCGCCTGCCCATCGAGGGCAGGACTGTGGTCCTGAGCGGAGAGATACAATCATCCAGAACCCCTCTCTTAGACTGCCCCCCAAACAGATGGGAGGGTGCCCCCGGCCCGCCGTGGAGGCGTTGGTCTTTGATAAACTTGGGGAACCTCAAACTGGGGTAAAACCAGGCTGGACCCGGAGTGACTCCCGGCAGCTGGCTCGGGATTCAGCCCCCCTCCCAGCTCGCCTTCCGGGAATGGGGAGGGGCTAGTTTCAGCGGGAAAGCGCGTCCCCGAAAGGGAAGGCTCTGAGCTCTGGCTTCCCCGCTCCCGTCGCCTCGTCCGTCCAGGGAGCGCGGGGTGGGCGCCCACAGGGCGGGCAGGAGATGAGAACGGGGCGAGTCTGGGGGCAGGTGGTGAGGAGGGGGCGGGATGAGAAACTCGAGGAAAAGCGCCAGTGAGGCCGCCGGGTAGCTCGGCAGGAGGCCGAATCTTTCCACCTGGACCCCGGACCTGCCGGGGCTCCGCACCCCCAAGACAAAACGCCCGCTTCGGCCCTTACCTGGACCTTGCGCACAGGTACACCTGGCTGGGGCCGCGGGTTCGGGAGGGAGGCGCCAGGCCCTGAACTACCTGTCCCCCTCCTGCCCCCGCCCTCGGCCTGACATCACTGAGTGGGGGAAGGGGGAGCCCGTCGGCGGCTCAGCCGCTCACCTGGGCAGCCAGCCAGCCCGTGGCCCTGAGACCAGCACAGCCTGGGGCCCCGGTGCGTCTGGGGGGACGAGAGCAGGTTGTCATCTGGGATCGATCTCGGTCCCCTTACCTGGAGAAGCCTCAGCAGGAGTCGTGGGACTCAGGGTCCGAAATCCGGCTCAGTCTAGGGGACCTAGGGACCTGGACTTGGTTGCAAATCCACTCCCTCTTCTCTACAGGTGGTAGCAGGGTGTCCCCACGTCGGAGGTAGAAGTCGGGGGTGGGGGAGCGTGAGCAGCCCCGTGTGTACCCGCTTCTGGCCCAAGGAAACTAAAATTTGTTGTGCAGGTGGAGGCGGGGCCTGGAAAGGGGCCTGGGAGGAGGAAGCACCCTAGGGGCGGGGACTCCCTGAAACTCGACGCCGGCTGGGATTGTTTTTGTCCTTTTCGGCCTGGCAGCAGGTGCCAGGGAAGAGGCGGAGACAGTCGACCTGAACCGCCTCCAGAGCGAAGATCTCGAGTCCTCGTCGCCCGTAAGGGAGAAGCTGGGGGCGGGAAAGTAGGGGGAAGCGGCCCCGCCCTCTCCTCCCCTTGTCCCTTCTCCAAACCTGTTCATTGGCCAAGCCAGGCGGCTATCGGTTCCACCCCCTGGGGCAAAGGGCACTCTGCAAAAGAGGGAAGCCTGCCCCTTGACCTCCGGCCAGTCTAGTTACCCAAGCTGCATCCTGGCTCCCAAGAGGCACCCAGAGTGTGTCCTTCCTTCTAAGCAAAGTCCAGAGACTCAGCTTCTCCTTCTGAAATGGAAGGGGTAAGTCAGGATCTCTTGGTGGGAGGAGTGATCTAGGCAAAGCTCTGGCCAGGTGCCCGGGGACGCGGGAGAGCCCTCCCTCTAGCTCTCTCCTGCAGCACTAGGCAAACACTGGGGCTGGAGGAGGATCTGGGAAGCTGAGATCAAAGGCAGCGGCCACCTCCCCGCCAGAAGTGGGTAATGGTTGGGTAAACAAACAATCCACAAGGTGATAAGAGGTCTGCCATGAGAAATGGCTCCAGCCTCAACTTTCTCCAAACCAGATTTTTCTAGGAAAAACCAGTATGAGTGAACTAAGCAAAGAAGTGTGTGTGTGTGGGGGGGGGGGGGGGGGGGCGAGGTCACCTGGGCCTCGGGGCAGCTGTGCAAAGCACAGTGGACAGTTCACGCAATGATTCCTTCATTCATTCAGCTGGTATTTGTTACGTACCTACTATATGCTAACCCCATGCTTGGTACTGGGGAATCCAGCCGTGAGCAACAAAAACAAACCCCACCCTTGTCCTCAAACAGCCCAGGCAGGGAGACTGATGTTAATCAAAGGATCATACAAACAATAAGAAATGATAGGTGACAACTATGCTGGGAGAATGACTCACCTAGGGAGTCAGGGAAGTCTTCTCCATGGAAGTGACAACTGAGCAGAGGGGAGGCTGTGTCGGGCAAGAAAGTGGGTGTGGAAGGTAGGGGGAAAGGCAAGTGCTTTGGACTCAGTTGTGCTTTTCCCAGTGTGGCCTGTGACCGCCTGCCTCCAAATCTCCCTAGCCTTGTGCAAAAAACAGATCCCTATGCACCCTCCCCCTACTGAACCTGTCTCTGGGGCCAAGATAGGAATGTATGGTATTGACAAGCCCTCAGGTGGTTGTTCTGTAAACCTGGTTTAAGAGCCACCCATCCTGTCTGTCCAGACCGGCAGGAACTGTGGACAGAGGCCAGACCCTGCAAGGTCTATCTGGGCTTACGTAGAGGCACCGAGGAACAGGCCCGTTTCTATTCTGGAAAGTTCACTCTGGATGTTGAAGGATAGGTTGGCGAGGGAAGTCAGACTGAGAGGGCTGAGTGCTGCAAGATTCCACGTATATGGATTTCTGGAGGGAGTGGAACTATAAAGACAGAAAACAGATCTGGGTTTGGGGAAGGCGGAGAGAGGTTGACAGTAGGGGCACAGAGACTTACGGAAGGTGATGGATTGTTGTGTATCTTGGTCATGATGATGGATATACAACTGTGTGTGTCAGGACTCACGTACACTCAAGTGGGTGAATTTTACTGTGTATAAATTGTATCTGAATTTTTAAATAAAAAAGAAACAAGAAAAAATAGATTCATAGCTCAATGAAACAGAATCAAGAGTCCAAATATAGCCAAAACCGGTTTGGCTCAGTGGATAGAGCGTCAGCCTGCGGACTGAAAGGTCCCAGGTTCGATTCCGGTCGAGGGCATGTACCTTGGTTGCGGGCACATCCCCAGTGGGAGATGTGCTGGAGGCAGCTGATTGATGTTTCTCTCTCATCGATGTTTCTAACTCTCTATCTCTCTCCCTTCCTCTCTGTAAAAAATCAATAAAAATATTTTTTTTTTTTAAAAAGAGTCCAAATATAAACTCTTACATTTCTGGTCAATCGATTTTTGACAAAGGATCCAAGACCATTCAATGTGGGAAAGGATAGTCTTTTCAATAAATACTTCTGGGACAGTTGAATATCCACATGCAAAGGATGAATCTAGATCCTGACCTCACACAAGGCACACAAATTAATTCAAAATAGATCGACCTAAATGTAAGAGCTAAAACCAAAAAACTTCTAGAAGAAACCATGGGAGAAAATCTTTATGACTTTGTATCTCAAATACAACAGCAAAAGCACAGGTGACAAGTGAAAAAATTGATGAATTAGGCTTCATCAAAATTTTAAATTTTTTGCCCTTCAACAGACACCACTAAGAAAATACACACACACACACACACACACACACACCTTGTCAAACACTGGGAGTAAATATAGCTGATTAGGGACTTTGTATCCAGAATATAAAAAGAACTCTTACAAATCAATAATAGACAAACAACCCAATTAAAAATGGGCAAAATATTTGAGTAGATGTTTTTCCAGATAAGATATATGAGTGGCTAGTAAAGTTGCTCTTGTAAAGATGCTCAACATCATTTGTCATTAGGTTAATGCCAATTAAAGCCACAATGCGCCCTGGCCAGTTTTACTCAGTGGATAGAGTATCAGCCTGTGGACTGAAGGGTCCCGGTTAGATTCTGGTCAAGGGCACGTACCTGGGTTGCAGGCTCAATCCCCGGGCCCCAGCAGTGCCCTTGTGGGAGGCAATATGTCTCTCGCATATCAATGTTTCTCTCTCTGTCTGTCTCTCTAAAAATCCATGGAAAAATATCCTCGAGCGAGGATTAACAACAGCAAAATCCCACAATGATATACCACCTCACACTCATCAGAATGACTATAATCAAAGGGACAGATAAGTGTTGACAAAGATACGGGGAAGCAAATCCTTATATATTGCTGGTGGGAATGTAAAATGGTACAGCCACTTTGAAAAAACAGTTTGTCAGTTTCTTAAAAAGTTAAACATAAACTTACCATGCACTCCAGCAACTCAATTCCTAGAATCTACCCAAGAGAAATGAAAACATGTACCAAGACAGTTACATGAACATTCATAGCAGCATTATTCCAAATAACCAAAAACTGGACTTTCAGATGTCCATCAATTAGAATACATAAACAAAAGGTGACATCCATGAGATGGGATCCCAAGCTACAAAAGGGAGCAAACTGCTGGTACAGGCTACAGCGTGGATGAACCTCAAAACCTTTACACTGAATGAAAGAATCCAGAAGCGAAAGACCACATATTTTATCGTTCCATTTAATATACGAAATGTCCAGGAAAGGCAAGTTTATAGACAGAAAGCAGGTCCGTGGTTGCCTAGGACTGCAGTTGAGAGCTGGATTGACTGCAAGCAGGCAAGAGGGACCTTCTGAGGTTGATGGAAATGTTCTGTAATTGGATTGTAGCCACGGGTACACAAGTCTATATGTCATTGTTTTAAAACGAATGGTTTAAAGAAATGCTAGGGTGGGTGACCTGTTAGTATATTATGGCGGGCCGCCAGCGAGGGAAGAGGCAGGGAGACCTCCTTCCCAGCCTCCATTTCTAGAGTCGCAAAATGGGAATAATGGTGCCAGCCTGTAGTAAGGCTGGGACGACAGGGGAGGTGCAGGAACTGGAGGCACGTGATGGTGATGGGATCAGTGAGCGTAAGGAGTGAGAGCCCCAAAGCCTGTGGTCCCCAAATGCAGGGGGAGAGGTGGTCACTGCCCCAGATTGTAGGGCCTGTTGAATCGGCCAACGCCGGGTCCTGAGACTCCTTGCTCCACCACATTCTCTTCCTGGAAAGCAGTTTAAGATATTTTATTCGATCAGAGGCAGCAGCAACCTCCCAGCCAGAAGTGGGTAATGGCCGAGAACTCCAGCGGACACCGGGTGCGGGACAAGCCCCCGAGCTCGCCCTGAAGGCGGTGTGCACTGGCCCACCCAGCCGCGAGCCTCCTGGCCGAGGCTAGGGCCAAACCCTGGCGGCAGCGGCAGCCGCGGCCTGCAGGGGGCGCCCGGACGGAACGCGTGGCCCCGCCCCCTCACGTGCCCGCGGCGTCACGTAACACCCGGAAGCAGCGGCCGGAGCGGAGCCGGCAGCAATGAGCGGGGACGCGGGGCCGGCGTCTGCAGCGCCCCATCCCGGGGAGCTCGAACCGGGCAGTGGGGTCCGCATCGTGGTGGAGTACTGGTGAGCGGCTCCGGCCGGTGAGGTTCCGGTCCGGATGAGGGCGGGTCCGCGGGCGGTCCCTGCCCCGAAACCCAAGCGACCCCCAGGTGTGGTCTCCCTAGTGAACCCTGCGGCTTTGAGGCGACCTACCTGGAGCTGGCGAGCGCCGTGAAGGAGCAGTACCCTGGCATCGAGATCGAGTCGCGCCTGGGGGGCACAGGTGAGGCCGCAGAACACCTGCTGAGTCAGGGTTCCAAGTCCCAGCTGCCCCGCTCTGTCTCCGGCGGTGGCTGGCACCTAGTGACATGTCCAGACAGCTTGACCCCCTTCCATCGTGGAGGGGGTCACAGACGAATCCTGTAAGGGAAAGCCGGTGAGACTGTGAAAGGACAGGTTTGGAGGGGAGGGAGCCCTTCCTGGAGTTCAAAGGGCTCACATGCGTTCCTTGTTCCTTTGGCCTGACCCCGGGTTGGGAAATGTCTTGAAGAGCTGCAGGTCTCTAACCGGGCATGCGGAGGACATGGGCGCCTGTGCCCACTCTGAGTGCGGAGGGCCTCCTGACCTTTGCCTTGTTCTCAGCAGACAGTTGATTCACTGGTTTATTTAATACCAGGGGCCTTTGAGATCGAGATCAATGGACAGCTGGTGTTCTCCAAGCTGGAGAACGGGGGCTTCCCTTATGAGAAAGATGTGAGTATTTGCAGTGTTGGAAGCACCCCGGGGTCACCACGCCTCTGCCGCACATCATCCCACGCCATCTCTCTGCCCTCCAGCTCATTGAGGCCATCCGGAGAGCCAGTAACGGAGAACCCCTAGAGAAGATCACCAACAGCCGCCCCCCCTGCGTCATCCTGTGAAGGCATGGGATTCCAGGTTCCTGTGGGTTCTGGGGTACAAGCCTTGGTCTCCCCTTTGGTCCTGCTGAGGGTTCCCCACTACCCCTTTCCCCTCACTTAGCTCCAGGTAGCTGAGACCCTGGCCTCCACTTTGCCCCTTTGGGTACCAGGAGGGAATAGAAACTTCTGTCGGTCTGGAGCATGGGAGAGCCTCTCCACTGATATTATCACAGCCACCTTGTACCCCTTCCGGGGATCAGTGTCCACAAAAACTTGCTCCCCGCTCCAGCCTCGCTGCACCTGTAAGAGGCCACTGTCGTTCTAATTTATTTTCTACTAGCCCCGGGCATTGTCAGCTATTGGCAATAAACTGGCACTACAAACACTTGTGCCAACTAGTGTGTGTTATGTCCAGCCTGGGAGTGTGGGGGAGGAGCAGGGTGGCTGTGCTGGGTGGGCGGGCTTTTTCTGGATAGCGACTTCTGGTTCAGTGATCTCTTCTCATAGCCAATAAGGAAAATGAGTGACCCAGTAGACACTGCCTCTTCCCCGCCGCCCGCCGCCCCCCCCCCCCCCCCGCCTCTCATTATGATGGGAGGGGTGGGTGGCCTTAAGGGATTTGTTTTTTTCTAAGCAAGAATGATTTGGTTGGCAAAGGGCTCTCAGATCAGTATCCTCAACTCCAAGATCCCCCTCAACCCAGAAGCCAGGACGTTGGAAGATAGGCTTCTCATTCAGGCTTCTTAAAGATGACTAGTCGCTCCCTCCAGGAAAAGATGAGTTGAGTGTATGTTAGGCGGCAAGCAATACGGGAAGGCACAGAACTACCCCCAGGCATAGGCTGGTGCCCAGCTGTTTTCCAAAATGTATTTGCAGATGGAGAAAGTGGGTATGGAGAAAGGACATCCCCAACCCCAGGGACCACTCCCCTTTCCACAATACCCACTCTCCCCGAGTCCTTATTTTATCTTTTTTTTAAAAAACAAAACACAAAAAAAGTAAGTAAAAACAAATCAAAGAAAGCACTCTGTACAAGGACTAGACCTGGGCACTGCTGCTATTCCCTTCTTCCTGGGGGCAGCGCTAGGACTCAGAGACAGTCTCTGAATGGACTGCTCTTGCCCTCGACACTTCTTTGGGGCCTCTTCCCCTCCTAGGCCCAGCTCCCCTAAGTCCTTCAGTGCCGGGGGTGTGGAAGGAGAGAGCCAGGCTGGGCTGCTCCCTCAGGTGAGGAGACTGTGGCTGTGGCATCCATTGGACCCTAGAGTCTGCTGGGACAGGGCTCCTTCCGGATGCTGCCTCCTCTTCCAACCAGGCTGAGCTCCTCTGAGCCACCTGGGAACTGGAAGAGGAAAGAAGGTGCCTGGCATGGCGGGCTCCACTGATACGGTCCAAGGGCCCTTCCCCACGTTGTCCTGACACAGGGTCCGACACAGGCCGGAAGTCAGGCCTCCCCCACTCCCCACGGGTTCAGTAGGGCCTAAGCAGACTTGGCCTTTTGGCTCACACTGGCGCATCCAGGCCCAGATACTCGGGGTTCTCTGCTGTAGGGGTCCCTTCAAAGGTGCTGGGCAGAGAGCCACGCTCGGATGGGTCCTGGTCCCAGTAATAGAGGTTGTCAAAGGCTGGACTGAAGGCGGGAGGAGGGTGGGGCTGAGGGGCAGCCCTGCCGCGGGGTGCCAGGTACTCAGGGTTCTCCACGGCACCCCCAAAGGCGAAAACGTCTTTGACAACCCCGTTCTTCCCAGGGGACAGAGTCTTGGGGGAGAGAGTCTTGGGCTTTTCCAGAGTGGCACTGGCAGATCGAGGAGGCGGCAGGGGGCCCTCTAAGGGTGAGGGGGGCTTCGGGCGGACCTCTGGCTGGTTCACGTATTCTGGAAGGGCAAGAGGGGGGGTTTGTTAGGGAAAGAAACCCATGTGTCCCAGCTACTAACACAGCCCCCACGGTGGTCCCCACCTCCCCCACTTCCCAACCTCAGCTCAGGCCTGGATGCCATACCTGGCTGGGGACTGCAGGTCGCAGGGGCAACGTAGCCATCAGTCTCAGGGGGCAGGGGCACTGTGGGGTCCTCACTGTACCGCTGTAGAGGGCTGGGGTCATGTGGGGAGAGGCTCTGCAGCCCCTTGGCCGCCCCCATTCCCAGGTCGCTCTCAAACACATCAGAGCCCGCCCCCTCGGAGGGTGCCAGTGGAGATTTCGGGGGCTCCTCCTCAGGGGGCTCCAGGCCCAGTGTCAGTTCGCCACCGCCACTCTGGGGACAAGAGAGAAGGTCATGATGGTGGGGTCATTCATAGATTTGAGATGGAGACTCCACAGGGTCACAGGAAGGAAATAGAGGTCCCCTTTGGGGTATGGCACGGTCACCATGGGGAGAGTGGGGACATGGGTTGGAAGGCAGCAGGAATCCTTAGGGAAAATGGGATCTCCATGAGGCAGTGGTTGGGGGGGCGGACATCGAAGAAAGGGACCTAGTGCATTAGGAGAGGTAACCACACCCACCAGAGTGTGACCAAGGGCACTGACCCTGGTGGATGAGCTGCGATGCCTGCGGTGGGCCGTGCCCCCCGCACCCGGGGCAGGGTCTGGGCAGAAGAAGCCTTGCTGGGGTACCAGGTACTCCTCGGCATCCACCAGGTCCCCCATGTCGTCATCCTCCAGCAGCGATCGGTAGAAGGTGCTGTCCAAGGGGCTGGTGGGGCCCAAGTCCTCGTTCTGGGGAGGAGGGAGACAGCGTGGCAGCCTCTCCCCAGCCCAGTGCCCGGCCCCCGGGGAAGGCTCAGGGAGGTGCTGTGCAGGAGGCACGATGAGTTGGGCAAGGGGCCGGGCTGGGAGGCCTGGGACCCAGGGAGGTGGTGGGTGGTCCGGTACCTGGATAACCACGAAGCGCTGGGGGTCCCTGGCCATGCGGGAGAATTCGGTCACCAACTCCCGGAACCGGGGCCGGCATTCAGAGTCAATCATCCAACCTGGGGGCGGGAGGAGGGTCAGCATCTCAGTCCCAGGGGCAGTGGGTGTGCGGCCCCGCCCCTCCCTCTCCAAGCTTGTGTAGTGATTCGAGTCCAAAGCTCTGAGGTGGTAGAGACGAGGTACCAGAAGCTTTGAGAATCTCGGTAAGTTTGCCCTTTTGATTTGCGTCTAAGTCTCTTTCTAGCTGGTCCCTGGAGCGTCCCTGGACTGGTATGTGAAAGGGAAGCGAGACCCTGTGGAGGTTCCTGTAACCACGAGGGGCCTCTGGGTCACATGCATTCTGGCTTGGCCCCCTTCCATGTTCCCTGGAGACCCTCTACCCAGAACCTCCCACCCGCCTCCGGGCTGCCAGCACAGCTCCACCACGCACATTTGACCATGATCATGTAGACATCGATGGTGCAGATGGGCGGCTGGGGCAGCCGTTCCCCCTTCTCCAGCAGGTCAGGGATCTCCCGGGCTGGGATCCCATCGTAAGGTTTGGCCCCAAAAGTCATCAGCTCCCACACAGTCACACCTAGGGCAGAGACAGGATGAGACGGGCAACAGGAGGAGCTTTAGCGTCTGCGTCCCAGAGGCTCTGTCCAGGAGCCTGGCACCATGGGGGAAGGAGGAGAGGGATGTGTTGCCAGAGGGCAGGAGCTACCCCTAGTCCTTCCCCAACCCCTGGGACATGCACAGACCCTAGCAGGTGGAAGCACTGCAGTCCTCCCTTCCAACCCACATTTATGCTGAGGTGTCTCCGTTCATTCTCATCCTTTCACCAACATCCCACCATGGACAGGACCATGGCTCCTCGTCCACCCCGCCCAGGGCTGCCCCCCACGCACCGTAGCTCCACACATCACTCTGGTGGGTGAACCGTCGGCGGAGAATGGACTCCAGCGCCATCCACTTGATGGGCACCTGAGAGGGAAGAGAAGTCCTTGGACTAGGTGTGTTGGGGGTGGGCGGGGATTCTCAGAGTGCTCCCAGGGCCCAGACCCCACTCCACCTTGCCCCCATCTGCATGGTACTCCGTCTCGTCGATGTCCAGCAGCCGAGCCAGCCCAAAGTCTGTGATCTTGACGTGGTTGGGACTCTTGACCAGTACATTCCGGGCAGCCAGGTCCCTGTGCACAAGCCGCACTTCCTCCAAGTAGCTCATTCCCTGGGATTGGAGGCAACCTTGTTAACCAGGCTCTAGCCACACTCTCCCAGGAAACCTCCCCATCCCCACCCTGCGTGGGGGCACGCTTGCTCTCAGGGGCACCCATGGCGCCCAGACCCCCTGGGTGCGTACCTTGGCAATCTGCACACACCAGTTCAGCAGGTCCTGGGAGCCCAGGCGCCCGCGGTGTTCGCGGACGTGGTCCAGGAGGCAGCCATAGGGCATGAGCTGTGTCACCAGCTGCACCGTGGAGGTCAAGCAGATGCCCAGGAGGCGCGACACATACGGGGAGCCCACACCGGCCATCACATATGCTTCCTGGGGGCGAGGGTGCACACTGAGGGGGTGCGGGAGACCACGAACCCCAACCACCACGCGCCCCTCCTGAGGGCCAAGGTGTGACTGGGGACCCCCACTGGACCGACCCCATCTGACACCAACCAGAACCACAGCCCACAGGATGGGGAGGTGAAGAGTCCAGGTTTGGGGATAACACTTGTCTCCTTAAATCCCAGGGGAGAGGGAGCCCAGAGCCAGACCTGCAACCAGGGGTCCTCCCGTGCTCCAGGCTGGGAGGGTGGAGGGACTTACATCCAAGATTTCTTTGTTGGCTTTGGGAGATGTGTTTTCCCTCAACACTTTGATGGCCACTGGGATCTTCACATTCTCCCCATCGGGGATCCAGATGCCCTGGGCAGAGAGCGGGGAATGTGAGCAGGAAACGGCCGGCCCAAGAAGGTCATTCCTGTGTTTCCCCACGCCTGGGCCAACCGCACAATTTACCAGCAGCCTCATTATCTAGCCACACTCACCCATCCCTTTCCCCTGTTCCAGCCTCTATAACTGCCCTACCAAACATCACCGTCCCCAGCTCAGGGCTGCCTTCCCCAACAGAACCCTTGGCCACACCCCAGTGCATCCTCTGGGACCGCCCACCCCAACTGTGGCCCCACCCCTGACCTTGTAGACGGTGCCAAAAGCTCCGGATCCGAGCACCTTCACCTTCCTCAGCTCGGTCTCTTTGAGGATCCGCATCTGAGCCTGGTTGGGCATCGCCCCGCTAGGCGTCAGCGGCTCCACCAGCTGTGGGGAGAGGGAGCCTGCGTCAGTGCCTGGGGTGCTGGGCCGCAGACCCCAAGCAGGTAGGGAGGCCCTCACCTCCGTTTCCTGCAGCAGCCTCCGCATCGTGTACTTCCGGATCTTCTGCCGCCTTCTCCTGATCAGGACGCCGAGGACTGCCCCCACGACCATCACCAGCAGAATGCCCACCACAGCAGCAATGATGGACGTCACAGGGCTGCAGACAGGGGCCAAGGTCAGGGATTGGGGAGCAGTCTTGGGGAGCAGGGCTGAAGGGGCCCCATGGAGGCGCAGGAAGGTCACTGGTGTTTGGAAGGGTGACCCACAGACTTCTACCCTCTCTTCCCTGTTTTAAAACCT